AGGATGGCACATTTATTTATTCAGAAATACATGAATAACAGTTTGATTTTGAACATTCAAATTGCAGATACATATTTGTTTTATCCACATGCAATTTATTTTTTAACGAGTTTAAAGAACACGAGTTTTTTATTTCTAGTGACAATGAATTCCATATTTGTGGTAGGAAAACTTTGGGAAATTGTTCTAATACTTTTCCTATAGGTCTTTCTAATCTTAAGCATTTTGTTCGGTTTTGATGAGACAAAGCACAACAAATATTATTAAACGATTCAGGAAGTCGTTCATTGAAGTATTTGTACATAAAAATTGAACCTTTCAATTGAAGAATATCATACAGTTTCAAAATTTTTAGTGTTCCAAAAAGTAGAATTGTATGTGCATTGAAGCTTGAATTTCAAACTGCTCTCATAGCCTTTTTTTTTCTTGATTTTTTTATTCTTAGAAGCACCCCAACATGTTATTCCGAATTCCATGTGACTTTTCTAAGTGTATTGTAAATAGTTTTTCTTATTTTTAAAGGTAGTATATTTTTTACGCTATTTAGAGCAAAGTATGAACTAGATAACTTTTTATTTAGTTTACTAAGGTGATAATCCCATGTGAGATATTCATCTAGATGTAATCCTACAAATTTTAAAAACTTTTCTTCACAATCTTCTCCAATTTTATTAATTCCTAGTCCACCAATCATTCCTAACATCTGGTATGAATAAATAAATAAAGACTTTTAAAGTTTAAAATGGAGGTTAAATGCCTGGGTACTATTTTTTGACAATACACATGGCATATTTTCATAATTGTAAGTGACATTTATCAAACAAAAGTTTATAAACGCAATGATAAATCGTAAATAGAGCGTTAGTGTCATGTTTATGTTTGATTTGAATGAATCATTTTTTTTCAATGTCTCCTTCAATTAAGATTATTTTAAAAAGGATATTTCAACCTAACTGCATCTTGAAAATTTAAGGCATTTGGTTTAAGTGACATTCGGATTTCTGCCCAAGAAACAATTGAGGAAATTGCTAGAACTAAACACTTTTAAGCTATACGAAAACGATGATTCCTCATTATTGATTAGATTCAGGTTTAAAGGTGTCCCACGAAACTTAACAGAAGTAAGACGACTTGAATCTTTCATCTTTAAAAAAGGCGCGGCATTTTCGTAAACCTTTTCTCGAAATTTATTTCTAGAGTTTTATCACAATTTTGAAGATCTAAAACAACCTTATTGTTAAGTTTCTTGGTACACTGTACACATCTTTTAATAGTGATATATCGTCTTCATAAGCGACATTTATTAGCTTATCTATAGAATAAATTTTTTTTTCTTTCTTTTTTAAATTCAATTTTTTTCCACGGCAACGCCAGGCCCTTAAGTTAGTTTTGTAAGAAGAGCAACTAACTCAATACAATAATTACCACGAGTCTTGCAAATCTGCAGAATTCAAAAATGTCATCTGTTCAATCATGAAAATGTCCCTGATGTTAAAAAGAGCATACACAGGATTTTAGCGAGAGGGGAGTTTTCAAGCAAAGTGCTGAAAATAGCCCCCCTGGGCTATTTTTGCCTTAAAAATGCTGTTATTCTATATAGTAAGTCAACTACATGTCCCCTATGTAGCCCATTGTATTTGTAATTCAAGGACGTTATATTATAATGTATCTCTCTGTATATAGGTCTTCATTACTCTCTGAAGTCCTAAATAGTCTCCTAAAGACTATCATTAGTCCTCCGTTCTTTATTCTCCCTTAATCCTCTCCTAATGTAATCTCCCCCTGACCCTCATGGGGGTTGCGGGAATACATGTCAAATAATGCATAAAGCTGTAATTGTTTATCAAGTATGGGGGAGGAGAAGATTTTAGATAAAAGGGAAATACTACGGTAAAATTTGAAAATAAGTGGCGTGCAGCGCCAAGAATATTTTCAACTACTTTTTAAGGGGGAACCCCTTTGAAGATGAGGGTAATTACAAAAGGAAGTTACTTAAACCCTTACCTCAGCTTCCTGTGTAGTGTCCATCTCCTCGACCAATGATTTGTCTTTCTTTCCCATTTTACTGAAATATCAATTTAATTAATTAATGGCGAAATATAAGTCAGATAAATTAACATGTAAGTGTCTTTTCGGAGAACAAGAACAAATAGATAATAAATTATGGTGAGTGAGGGGGGATATTTCAAGAATTCGATATTTATATCTTAAAGACATTGTCCCACGAGGTCAATAATCTCAAAAATGTACTTGAAACTAAGTAAATAATAATATGGATCGACAAAAAATGCTAAATTATTAATAAAACTGCAACAAATTTTGACTGTGACTGTATTAAAAATTTTAAATCAAATTGCATTACTTACGTTCAAGAGGGGAAATCTTTGTTGTTTAAATTTTTTGACTTCTGAGGCTCTCAGCACACCGTGTGGAAAATAGTTTAATGTGACGCGGTAAAGGTAGCTTTTAGTTTTTACAAAGACGATCACAAGACAATCAATCAATCAAATAGTTCAAAAAAATTAAATAAATGAAAGAGCAGCTTTTTCACATAGTTCAAAATACAGTCCTCATGATATATTTTTTTTCATCCAAAAATTATCTTTAGATAAAATGCAATTCTTCTTAATAATTACAAGGTCACCATGACAATGTCCGTGAAAAGAGAAAGCCATCGCAGGAATGCCCCGTAAGATTTTCTACAGTATTTTTCAGTTCTATTTACACTTCAAATAGTTAAAAACTAATTTTCATTTGTTTCTTCCCTGATATAAGTGTAGTAAACCGTGAGACTTATTCAACTGAGGCATAGAAAGACGATTTTTAGGAATTTTTTTTATTTTTTATTTTGTTATAAAGCAAATAGTTACACCATTCACTCTAATAGCTGGAAAATTCTTCTTAACAACTTTGTTCAATACAAAACAAATCAACAATAGTATTTTCATTTATAGAATCATAGAGAGAAAAAAAAGTCTCATTCTATCTTCGTACCTATTGCTGTAATGAGTTGCTTTTCGCAGAGCTCTCCATTAATTAAGGTTTAATCAAAATAATTTGCAAGCGTAGCTTGAAAATTAATATATTAAGTGAGGTGGGATCCTGTATACTGTTTACTGCACATGTGCGGTGTTTGATGAGTAAAGAATAGTATAAAGAGTGAAATTTGGGGTCCATCCTAGTATACGAATTTTGGACCCCCTCCCCCTCCTAGCATTTTTGCACATGGCCACCTATTCTTCATTTTTCAGCAAAAATATTATCATTTATGTTTTCATTACTTTAGGTTAGGTTAATACAATTTCTGGGCCAAGCGCTGCGGCTGGGGCAGGCTAGGGGGCCGAGCGCTGCAGTGTTACATATCAGATTCATGTTTCTTCATTTTTCAGCAAAAATATTATCATTTATGTTTTCATTATTTTAGGTTAGGTTAATACAATTTCTGGGCCAAGCGCTGCGGCTGGGACAGGCTAGGGGGCCGAGCGCTGCAGTGTTACATATCAGATTCATGTACAAAATTAATAGGGGGGAGGGGGATATAAAAATCGCATGTTGGGAAATTACCGAAATTTGGTCGAACAATTATAAAACTGTTGTTTTATTGTCGTTCTACAAGCGTACCTCACCCGTTTGAACTTTAAAACCTTATGTGCCCTTGAAAGATAAACTATTTTCACTTCACAAACAACGATTTTTAGGTTTAAATGTTTTATTAAATAAAGGTTTCGGATCCGTCTTAGTATACAATAATTTATGGACCCCCCGACCCCCCTCAAACCAATTTTGTGCATGACCACTTTTTCAACAATTTTCAACTAAATTAGTATATATTTAGGGTTAGGTTAGGATAAGACACTTTCTTGGCCGAGCGCTGCGGCTAGGACAGGCTAGGTGGCCGGGTGCTGCGGCCACATGGTCAATTATATCCATGTCTTATCTATATTTATAGGAGGGGGGGGGGGGGATCCAAAAAATTTATATTAGAAAATTACAAGGTTTCAATGCACCAGCAGTTTTAATGTGATGCCAATTTAAAAATTTCTGAAAAGAATTACTTGTAACGGATAAGTTCAAAGGATCATACTGTATTATTATGTAATGTACTGCGTATAATTTGTGTACATTTGCATGAAATGTACACTTTAAACACCTTTGCAGGTTCAAAGAGACTGATAAAGCTCATATCGAGAATCTTTCCCCTTTATAATATTCTCTACTATGTGATTTCGTGTTTATTGGATTATTGAAAAATCAATTTTTTTATTCTTCAGATTGAGAAAGTGATGTCTGGTAAGAAGGATCCGCGTGAACAGGATCCCCTTGATCCTGAGAATGATCTATTCTGGGATCCTGATCTTCTCCGGCAACCCCCTCCTCCTCCTCCTCCATCACAGGAATATTTTCATACAAGAGTTCATCATAAACCTTTTTTATAAAACAATAATTAAGAATTTTCTTTTCTTATTGTTTCCCCCTCCCCCCCCCCCCTTCGTAGACGTTGCTGAATTTCTGCTTATCCCAAATTTTATTTTTAATAATTATTTTTTTTCTGGACTAAATTATCTGATCAATATATTATCATTTTATTTTGAAATTCTCCGATTTTGATGTGAATGACTGTAAAACTGTTGAAGGATAAATACAGTTTAAAACCTGTTGACCCAGCACCTAAAGTAGAACAAGAAGGTAATTTTCTACAATCTTTTTTGTAATTATTGATTGATTACTAGCTGATGAGAACGGCGTTGCCCATGGAATTTTTAAAACACTTTTATTATATATATATTATAATAAATAATAATATAATATTTATAGATGTAATGAGGCAATTATTACTTTTTGCTGACTGAAATATTATTTTGCAAAAATCTCTTTTACTTTATAATCTCGCCTTGTTAGAGGCTTAACAATAACGGTATTTCTATACTTTGTTTTTTTATTTATAAATAGAAGATTTTCTCAAAAAATGCTGCAAAAAAAATTCAAAGCCTTTGTAGCATTTTTTTATCTTTTCGGTTGTTAAATATTATGCGTCCACTTTAGGTGCAAAACCTTTTTCAATTTCTTTCAATTTTTAATTTATTTTTTAATCTTGAATTGTTTAGCAATTAATGTATCGACGACTCTGAAAAGACCGGCCGGACCTGCTGCACCATTTGACACTCAGGTCGACACAGCGAGTATAAGGTGAGGTATTAAAAATAAACTGGAAGGGACAGTAAACTTAATATCAAATGAACCTCCATGCAATGAATGCCATATTTACAACGGTACACTTGAAAGCTTAATCTGATTAAAAATGTTGAAGAGAATCGTCAACTGTTTCTTAAAACCATAAATCAATTTAAACATTTAAAAAACATGGATTCCTTTTTCATACTTGAGTTACGCTTACAGTCTCTTTGATAGAAATTTAAAAAAATCACTTTAAGGTCGTGTTTAGAAACAAAGAAAAGGGTAGAATCATGGATCCATGAAATATGAAAAAATGGCTCTTAATATAATGTCTGGTGACAAGAATTAAATGGAAATAACATTTCAATTAATAATGTTTCAGGATTTTAAATCACACCCAGAATCTTTTTCGTTGATTTTTTTTACCATTTTAGACACATTTCTAAAGAGGCTTTTTTTTCAGAAGTCAGATTTAATGAATAATGAGGAGTAGTTCAACTAGGTATGGTTAGTTGAACCAATCCTCAAGTAACAGTCCATTCCTTAATTTAACTCCCTCTTGGCGTTCAGAAAATCAGACTTCGATCTTGTGCAATGCCAATGTGCATCTATTTACTGCCTTGTACAACTATTGAACCGCCTTTTACAACTATTGAACTGCCTTGTATAACTATTGTACTGCCTTGTACAACTATTGTACTGCCCTGTACAACTATTGTACTGCCTTGTACAACTATTGTACTGCCTTGAACAGGTGTTTTTGTATTGTAGTGAGCCTGATGCTAAGAAGCTGCGCGAGACTGCGCAAGCTTTCGGATACGGAAACCAGAATCCAGGAGAACAGATACGGGTCAGCGCAGCTACAGAAGGGTTCAGGTACACGCTGGGGCGGCTTTCGATACTTTCCAGGGAGGGTGACGTCCCCCTTCCTCCTCCCCCTTAAGCCGCCAATGGGTACACAATTTTAAAACATTGGTTCAGAGTTGTATCTTTAGACCCGGATCGGCAAAAATATCCGGTTCCAAGTGCCATAATCTGTAAAAATAAATAAATATTTTTTTTGACAAATATTAACGTGTGACACATGATATTAAATACTTTTTTCATGGGCTTTTCAAATATATAAATGAATAAAAAGTTTTCAACCATTTCTGATTTTTTTGAACCACCGACCCGCCGTTTGACTGTCCCCCACCCTACCCTATGCCATGCATCAAACTATGAAGTTAAAAAAGATCAGCGCCATTTCACACATTACTTTTGACTTTTTGTTTTTGTTTTTGTAATTTTTGTTTTGTTAAAGAAACAAGTCAGAGTTATAATACCCCTCAGGGGAAGTGGGGGGGGGGGGGTAAAATTGTAAACTGGACATCAAAAGACAAATTTCTAAAATAAAAAAAATCATTCTTTTTGATACTTCTTACTCATAAAATATTTTATTTTCCTCAATCCAGCTAATGAAAATATACACCTCTGAAAGAAGTAAAATGTGAAGGAATGTTTTTGAGTTGGATATATTTTTACAGCACTTTATACAGACAGAAAACTACAGTACCAGATGATGTAACGATGTTGATTAAATGAGATTATAAAAACGATATATTTTATATATTATTTTATAGGAAAATGTATGTTGGTGCCCTTCACATGCACACCACAGAGAAAAGTTTAACAGATTATTTCTCACAATTTGGAGAAGTTCAACATTGCCAGGTAAAGTTTCGCTTAAACTATGTTTGTCTTTATTCTGGGGGATTTTTATNTACTGTCGTTTTTATAGTTTGAAAAGTGTTAAAATTCCTATTCGTTTTCCTATGGTGGAAATGCAAAATTGTTTTTTTTTGTAGCGAACCCACACTTGAAAATATCAGTTTTCTAAGCTAAAATCATTAAAAACTAATTCCTTCTTGATCAGACAAAGCTTTTGAAGGTTGTGAATATGGCATCACCATCTTACGATGGAGGGTCACTTAAAACAGGATTTATTATTCCTAACTCAACCAACTTTTTTGGAAAAATTTGGCCGGGCGGGGGAAAGATGTTTTTTCTACATAAAAATCCCCCAGAATAAAGACAAACATAGTTTAAGCGAAACTTTACCTGGCAATGTTGAACTTCTCCAAATTGTGAGAAATAATCTGTTAAATGCTTTCATTCTGCTCGTTTAGGTTCTAAGGGACAAGGAGACTGGGATGACGAAGGGATATGGGTTTGTAACCATGGCAAGTGCCAATATGTGCGCTAAAGTATTATCAAAGGTTAGCTTTTGGTTAAATTTGGGGGAGGGGGTGTAGTTAAAGTTAACATTTTTAATTGGCAGCAGGGGGGTGTCCTTTAATAATTTGATAACAATAATTAAGATAATTTAATTTTAAATGGAATTTGTTTAAATTTTAAAGTAAAATATTTTGCCGTAAATAATAAAATACCCCTACCAATTTTGTTTTAACAAATAAAAAAAGATAATTTAAAGGAAATTGTAAAAAAAAAATTATAACAAAAAAAGAAAATTTTTTATGAATTTGTGTTTAGTCAGTTCATGTAGTGGATAACAGAACTATCCGGGTCAGTTTAACCCACAGTACCAAGAACCTAGATTTTAAACCAAAAAATCCTAAAAACTACGAGGAAAAAATAGATCTCATTCATGAGGTAATTAGACAATTTACAATTTACATTTTAACTGATCTGTTGTTTAAAATCATAAATATTGAATAATTTAGCATTAGAAGTTCTTTTATAGTTTTATCCGTTTAATATTTTTTTTCTTCATAAACGCTTTTTTTTAAACCTTGATACACGAATTGAGTGATGGTCTCGCTTTATTAACTAATTATTCAGGTTTTTATAAATTAATATATTAATATAATTTTGGATTGATTGATTTATTAATTATTACATTAGGTTGATTGATTAATTAGGTTAGAATCAATTGATTATGTTTGAATGATGGATATGTAAAGGAAAGATGTATATTGAAACTCTACCTCATAATGTTGGATTGATTGATTAGTTGATGGATTGTTATCGGGGTTAATTGGTTGGCTGATTGATTGATTGATGATTGATTGTTGGACGGGTTGATCGGTTAGCTCATTGATTATTGGATTGAAAGATTGATCTATTTATTGATTGATTGACTTTAAACTCTGCCTGATATACTTTAATTAGTTGTTAAATTAAGGGAGAATATATTTTAGAATTTTGTCTGATAATTTCGGATTGATTGATTGATTGATTAGGTTGGAATGATTGATGTACGTGAAGGAAGAATATATGTTGGAACTCTGCCTGATAACGTGTCTCCGAATATTCTAGGCAAATTCAAACAAATCTAAAGTTTATGCAAAATTTCGTATGATCCAGGATTTCTTAAAATATGAAATTTTTGCAAAACATTACTCAGGTATTGGTGAACCCTCTTGAAATTGATTCAAAATGGATTTCAAAATGAAACTATGCCCACCCCTAAAATATGATATGGAAATTCTACTTAATTGAAATCCATTGCATTACATTAATGAATCAAATAAATAAAATGACAATGAAAAATGTTAAAAAGATATTTTAGAATTTGAATTGAATTTATTTTCTGATTTTGTAAAATGTTTGATTTGTTTAGCCTCGCATTTCTCTCAATACGGTATAGTGACCACCTCTAACGTGAGTAGGGCTGTGCACAATACAATGAAGAAGAATTTTGGTGTCGTGAATTTTAAGGTTAGACTGTCCTCCTTTTTGGAATTCGATTTAAAATTTAACTCTCTGTTTTTTTTTGACAATTAACACCCTTTTGTGTTGTGCTTAGGATCCGGATCCGCCAAAAAAACCGGATCCTAGGGCAACATATCAACCAATTCTGCAAAAAAAATCTTTTCCTCTCAAAACTCGTTCTGAACTGCTGAATGGTTTTTAAAGTTGTTGCATATAAATTTAAGCGAAAAGAGAAAGAAAAATAATTCGAAAACTCTGGATCCATTTTTTGTCAGTGCGGATCCAGTACCCGGACCCAGACCCGGATTAAAATTAAATGGTTCCTAAGTACTTATTTTGTGGACGGAAATGAAAATTTCTGTTATTTCTTTGAAATTTATCTGTCTAGCTTTCGAGTACCACCATTTGGTAAATGAATATTGGTTAACATCTTAAAAATTATTTCTGAAGTAGTGAAATTTTTACCTAAGTTTTTATTTTCTAGGAAACTATGGCCGTGAAGCGTGTTTTACAGAATCCACGACATTATATAAACGAAAAATATATTGATGTCACACTTTCTAAGGTAAATTATTTGACTGAAAAAATGATCAAAAATTATTCTTTGTTTATTTGTTTTTGTTTAGTTTGGTATGGAAACCCTCTTGTCGGACTCCATAGTCTGGTTGTGGGGGTTGGACTGGTCGGTGAATAACGACGATATTTCTAGACATTTCCAACAGGAAATTCAAAACAAACAAACAATTTATTCTTACATTTTCATATAAATTTAATGTTTAATTAACGTTTTTAACGAATCTGATGTTGACTTCTGTTTTCGAATCTCAGTTCGGAGCAGTGTACCATGCTATGCACATCTTTAACCCTGTGAGTGGAGAAAAACGCGGATATGGTTTCGTGGATTTTGTTGACGAATCATCTACCAAGAAATGTCTCGCGGCATCCCAAAAGAGTCAAAATCGGTTTGAGGTGAAGGGACAGCGCGGACATTTTGGTAAATTTTTGCCACAGAAAACCAAACGCGATCTTATGTACATAGAAGATAGGTAAGCTATTCTGAGCAAAGTGATCTAAGAAAACGTTAGGAATAAAAGTTTTTGAATTGAAATATTTGTAGGTTTGGAAATCTTTTGTTGAAGCAAATGTATGACAAGGTTCCAAGTTCAGGTGATAAAACACAACTCTTGAATGCTCTCATTTTGGGATTCAAATTCCCAATTAAATTCAGTTAAAAATGCTAACACATTTGATTTGGGTAAATAATTAATCTGAACAAATCAATTGATTTATTTTCATAGTTGATCGATTGGAACAAATCATGTTTGATCTCATCTGACAAACAATTAATTTTAACAAACCCTAATTGATCATATTTGATGATTGATTCATTGGTCCAGGAACGTGGGGTGGTGGTAAGGATCACAATGACTCTATCCGAAGTACAGGAGCCCGAACTATAACCTGTAAACTACCGAAGCAAATGCTTCCTGTAGTAGTGGGAGATGATGGCAAGATTGTTGCTGATATCGCCAGGTATAGCAATTAGGGGCATTTATCTTTTATAACCTCCCCCCACCTGATTTCAGAAGATTTGAGAAAAAAAAAGAATGCAAACGTTTTCTCTCTTTTTGATTCATTTTACTTAAAATGTCTGTTAATTTCGTCCCTAATTAATGAATTTTGCCATGAAAAGTCTCGAGAATCTTGAAAAAATATCTTCTCCCCACTCTCGATAGTAAAAAGGTGTATCAATTTGTTTCTTAGTATTTTTGTTATGACTTTTTATTTCAGTGAGTTAAATTTTTTAAACTTGATAAACAAATAAATTTTTGAGCATTAAGTTTTGAATTTTAAGACTTTTTAAAGAAGGATAATATCGTTTGTCCGTCTTTTAAAAGAAATAAAAAACACTCCACATTTTCTTTTTGAATTCAATTGAATTTAACCAACTAAAAATGATCCATAATTTATAGGGATAGCAAAACTAAGATTACGTTGATAAAAGCAGCGCCCCAGGAGACTGCTTGCTTATTTCATATTGTGGGAAATGAACAGAACTGCAAAACAGCACAGTACATGATGCAGATCAAAATTAAGGAAAAGATCAACATTTTTCATTTTTTTGTCAATCGTTTGTTAATCAAATCAAATCAAATCAAATCACTCAAGAAATGTCTTCCATTTTCCAGTATTTTTATCGAAGTTAATTCAAATAAAAATCTAGCATATCAGAATTGAACTTTGACGGTACATTGGCATAGCCTACTTCAGAATTCTAAACATTATTTAAAACAAAATATACTTTTACTTCCATTAAATTACTTATTTTCTGATAGCCTAGTTTACAGATTATCAAATAAAAAATGGATCAAGATAAAATAATTTGTTTTCAACGATTTGTTAGTTGTTGCAAATGAAACCATATAAAATGTTGAAACTGCAGGAGCGAGTCCAGAAAGGAACAGAAACCAAGCACTCTAGATAGCAGGGATAAGATAAACATTTTAATACCAGCACTTAAACCAATCAAATCCAAAATCAACAAAAACAAACTTTTTGATAAAGTTCAAGGCTACTTTTGTGTTTTAGTGAATGTGAATAAGTATTAAAAGTGAATTTTATAACGAAATTTCTACTCCAGAAAAAGTTTTGGTTGAATAAATGAAGTTCATGATTTTTTATCAACTCCACTTAATGAAATTGTTATGCAGTGCACTTTTTATTTAATGTAAAGCCATAAAATGTAAAGTTTATAGTACACATGTGTTTACGTACAGTGTACTGTAATGATGTTACAACTCTAGTTTCAGACTAAATGTAAAGTTTCTGGTGCACATGTGTTTACGTACAGTGTACTGCAATGATGTTACAACTCCAGTTTCAGACTAAATGTAAAGTTACTGGTGCACATGTGTTTACGTACAGTGTACTGTAATGATGTTACAACTCTAGTTTCAGACTAAATGTAAAGTTACTAGTGCACATGTGTTAACGTACAGTGTACTTCCATGATGTTACAACTCCTGTTTCAGACAAAATGTAAACAAAATGCGAGAATGAGTTCATACAACAGGAAGGCGGAGGCAACTCCGTTTTCCGAAACTTATGCTAGGTTAGGATGTTTTTAGAAATATTTAGAACTAGGCTTTAAAACCGCTTCGCGCCTAATTTTGAACATTTTTCTCTTTGAATACATTAATGCTAAACCAGTAGATAAAAAAGTTCGCGGATTTTATGAAAAAAGCGTGGATTTCAAAATTTAACGAAAATTTTTGAAATTTTTATCATCCATAACCTTTCCTTGGGGTCAAACAAAGTATATAGATTGAGTATTGATAGTATTGGGGAAGCTACGGAAAATGTTGAGTATATTCTGAGTTGGCTCACCCCTAGTAAATTCTTGTTGTATCCGCCTCTGAATTAGTATAATGAATTTCTTTTGGTACTTGTTAATTTTCTTAAACTCGCTAGTTAGTGTACAATGTACATTGCACATTGTACATTGTACATTGTACATTGTACATTGTAGATTGTACATTGTACATTGTACATTGTACATTGTACATTGTAAATTGTACATTGTACATTGTACATTGTACATTGTACATTGTAAATTGTACATTATACATCAATACAATGACATTGTACAGTTGTACAATGTACAATTGTACATTGTACATTGTAGATTATAGATTGTATGTAAAATATATATTTCCAGATTTCCGGATGGTAACATGGAGTCAAGTCAATTAAAAAGAGACATTTCTGGTACCAGGGACCATTCTAGGGGTCTCCGGGACCAATCTAGGGGCCACCGGGACCATTCTAGGGGCCACAGGGATCAGTCTAGGGACATAAAGGATCGGTCAGAGAACAGAGGTCGTCTTGGGACCGACAAAAGGAAATTATCAATCTTCTGGTTTCAATTGTTGATTTATTTTATGTGCGGTCGTCAGACCTTTTTTTTAAATGGGGAAAATGGCTTAACTGATAATAATTTAGATTTTCCACTGTTAATATTGAAATTGAAAACCTGTTTATTTTAAACAATAATTTGTTGTTTAATTGAGTTGAGATTAAATCATGGATGGATTAATGAAAATTGATTGTGGAAAAAAAATAATTAATTTAATTTGAGCTTTTACAGGGAAAAAAAGTTCCAAACCGTACTTATGTTCCAAACCTGACATGGAGTGTCAGGTTTGGACACGAAAATTATGAACTTGACGTTTTAGTAACTCTTCCAAGTTCCTTTGCCGACATCAAATATGAATGAAAGAAACTATTTCCAATATATTATTAAGCACGACGAAAATTACAATTATTTGTAGGTATTTAGATTAAAATTATTGTTATAAAAATGTAGCCTTAACTTTTCTCAATTAAAGCATGCTGACGGGTTTTTCTTCTCGACTCAAATTGAAAAGTATGCTCCATTGCTATGCTTTTTCAGTATTTATTTTTGATTTAACCAGTTCAGAAACCGTCTTGTGATTGATAATATGTCTGGCTAGGGATGAACCTCAATCATTTGAAATTGAGACCGAGGAATTAGATCCCAGGGTTCAACAGGAACTCGAAAAATTAAACTCATGTACGGACGAGATTAACAGGTGGATTTTCATCCAAGGGTTTATACTTTTAGGAACAATTATTTTCGATGATTTTTGGGAGGGGGGGGGGGTAGGTGAAAATTTGAACATCAAATGGCAAGATTTTTAACGTTGAAAGAGACCCACTAAGTAAAGAAGAAAATACCTGATTTACAACGGTACCCTTAAAAGCTTAGTCGGATCAAGTTGGAATTAGATATCCATGTTTATGTTTATAGTTAAACTGTTTATTTTTGTTTGTGGTTTCTTTGCAAAAGTGATTTAGCTCTTTTTTTTATTAAAAGAAACAACGGAGAAATTCACAGCATTAAAGGATTATGGAGTAAGAATAATGACGTTATCTTTCATATTCCAGATGAGATTAAAGTTTCTAGGTAAGTTTGTAAATCAGCAGTTGATATCTTTGCATGGAGGGTCACTAAAAAGTATGCTTACAGTCCCTTTTAAAGGTGACTTATTGAATCTAATTTTTTTCTATTTTATAATTTAGATTAGAGGTACAGTTAGATGATGCTAACACTGTATTCCGATTTCTGCTCTCAGATTCTACCCATCATCTTAAAGCATTGTCTAAGAAAATTGGATCATGTATAGAGAAAGCAAGGTAAATAAACACTACAAAGCATTATCTAAGAAAATTGAATCATGTGAAGAGAAAGCAAGGTGCACTACAAAGTAGTGTCTAAGAAAATTGGATTTTCAGAAAAAGCAAGGTAAATAAACACTTCAAAGCATTGTCTAAGAAAATTGGATCATATTCATGAACAGAGAAAGCAAGATGAATATACACTACAAAGCATTGTCTAAGAAAAGGGGATCAAGGTTAGAAAAGGCAAGGTAAAGAAAAAGACTAATAGATAAAATGATATCTTTCAGTTTCAAATTATTTAGTCACTTGGGCAGTACAATATTCTACAACTCCAAGTTGAACCAGCCAAAAAGATGCATATGGTTGAATTGTCTGACAGTCACATATCATTAAATCCGATCCAGGTTTCACTGACCTAGGGTCAAATGACAGGGTAAAACAACCTTGGGGTCAGACGACATAGGGTTAAACAACAAACAGTCAAGAACACAACAAAGTGTAAAACGACTAAGCGTCAAAATGACAAAAATATGTCATTTAATTTTTTCTTTTAATATGTGAAATAATTTGTTGTCTCACCTTATTTTGGGTCAAGTTGGGTCAATACAATTTCTGGGCGGAATGCTGTTGCGAGTTTTTGACCCTAAGGCGTTTGCCCTTATTATGAAGCTCAGTTTGAATCCGAAACTCCCAGGTTGAATGCTAATAACTTTTTATTATTTATTGTATTGAGTTATTATGAGGATGATTTTGTTGACTTAGGAGTCGCTGATTGTTCTCTCTGTTTAGTTTTTGTTCTTAGTTTTGAATATCTCTTACAGCAGCTCACAGATTCTATATTCTATATTCAATATTTATCTTCTTTTAATGATACTCACAGTAGAAGATTCTTTGATGTATGATGGAATCAAGTTCCATTTTCTGGGTACCCAAACTCTGTAGTACTTCTTACATTTGTTCTGGAGATCTGGGTTTCAAGATTTAATGGGCTATTGTGTTTCTAGTAACTGGGCTGTCATTTATCCTGCTAAGCAAAGTTGCTGGATTTACATCACTGAAACCTTGAAGTATTTTGAATGTTAGTATCATGTCAGCATGTTCTCTTCATTCCTTCAGCAAAAGCAGGATCAGCTCATTCAATTTTTCTTCATAAGATTCACCATGGAGCCCAGAAATCATATGAATAGCACTCTTCTTAACTTGTTCTAAGGAATTCAAATCAGCTTTAGTCCATGACAACCAGGCTGGGGTGCAGAACTCAAGGTGAGGGTGAACATAGATTTTCTACAAGTTGACATAAAATGTCTGTTCCTGTAATGAAATGCACTAGAAATAGATCCAAGATTAAAGTTTGCTGTTCTGGCAGCCTCTGAGCACAGGCCGGTAGGTTTTTAAGTGACTTATTTACGAGCACCCAGAGGTCCTTCTCTTCTTCAGATTCACCAAGCTGAGCCCCATTCATAAAGAAATTAAATCTGGGATTGTTTTTTCCAACATGGAGAATTTTACATTTTGAATTAATAAACTTCATATCCCTGGTGTCTGCATCTCCTTCTGATCACATGACATGACCCACCTTGGGGTCATCTGCGAACTTTTTAAGGATAGATATGTCACCTGCTGCAATGTCGTTACCATTAATGAAAATTATAAACAAAGAGGACCTAGTACACTGCCTTGGGGTACCCCAGAGAGAACCTGGATCCACTCTGAAAATTCACCATTAAATATAACCTGTTGTTTTATATCACTGATCCAGTTGTTAATCCATAATCCATTAATGATAATAATAATAATATTACTACTAGGCCTTTTTATGAAGCTCAGTTTGAATCAATGAATGCCCAGGCAGAATGCCAAAAAGCTGCAGTACAATTCCAGAGAGCGGCAGGTAAATAAATATATAATATTTCAGGGGTGTATAATATTAGGGTGAAGGTAATTATTTTAAAGGGAATGAAAACCTGGGCATCAAAAGGCAAGATTTTTTCTCTTTTTAGTATATTTCCCCGAAAATTCATTTATTTACCCCTTAAAAATCATTTATTTTCACCTAAATAGCAATAAAACCTTAACATTATTTTCTGCAAAAATACCTAACTTTTGGGGGAAAAAAATAAAGTATTTTCAAATGGGGGGATGATTTTTAAGAAAGAATACACTACTTGTTTGTGCAGACCGCCACACACTTTGCTATCAAGTGTATAATCTCTAGTAAAACCAAGTTCTATTATTGAGTTGCATTCTTTTCAAAGGACAATGCTGAACAGTTAGCAGACCTGATTTGTTCTCCCCCATCATCAGAGCCCTATGAAACTTTGAAGGGCTGCTTGTTTGACCTTTATGAGTTGAATTCTTTACAGTGTTTTGAGTCCTTCAGCTGTCTTCCTTTCTCAGCTGATATGAAGCCCTCTCACCTGATGAGCAAAATGCAATATCTGCTACCAAAGGATCATAAACCTGGTTTTTTCATTCATTGACATTTTCTACTTGGTTTTCCGACTGGAATTTCTCTTTTAGTCCAGGAGGATATCAAGTACCCCAGTGCCCTTGCTAGGAAGGCTGATGAGCTCTGGCAGAACAGTTATTTGGCCGCCCTCAACAAGTTATCATATGCATCAGATGACCAGGAAGTTAAAGATGTTTTGCTGTTTCCTCCTGTCTGCTTCCCGTTCTCCTTCCCATGCTAAGTCTGGGAGATCAACCTCTTCAAGGCATTCATCCTCATCTTGATTAGTCCTTCAGGGTGGTGCTGGTACCACAGGTCTCTTGGAGAAGAAGCTTAGCACTGCAAGAGTCCATGTTCTTATATTCTGGGAAACTAGTTGGCCGGCAGGAGGAGCAAGCTCACTCTCTTCCGGTTGGGAAATCCTCTCTCATCTATTTCCTGGATTCTCTCTCAGCTCTGGAAGGATTTTTTATGCCATACAGTAGCTTCAATATCAGTTTTCCCTGAGTCAACTTGTATCGATCTGGAGCAGCTCGCAGTCCTGCTGGTTCTCAAATGTTTGTTAACAGCAGGGGGGATTCTCTACCTTGTTTTGGTGACAGTAAACTCCCCCTTAAGTTCAGCTCCTGCAGTTTCCAGTGGAGTTTTCGGATCCAGTGACAACCCTTATCTTGGGTTCAGATTTTCTCAGAAATTTTTCTCTCCTGGTCGGTGTGGCTGGTGGAAGGGTGTTAAGACGCAGATTCTCTGGATGTTATATCCACGGGATCCTCACACACCTCTTCAACACCTTTCACCTCAGGTCTGCTCCCAAGGAGATCAGGAAGTTGTTGGCTGATTATCCTGACGTCCTCTCTTCCAAGCTCTCTTGTTCATAGAAGAAGCTTTCCTAGAGTGGCCAGACAAACCACGATAGCTTCATCTTGTCAACCTTGTAGATGATGTTGGGGGGGGGGACCTCTGTGGCAGAGCATAAAACGACCTTTGTAGGCTCTAACCTAGCTTCATTCCACGTAGCTGGATACTGTATTATGTAATACTGTTTCCATTCACAATACTGTTTTTATAAATGTTTTAAGAATAAACACTTGTTACATTTGATTTATGTTTTGCCTTTGTGTGAATTATTTTAAAAATTTTATTTTAGGGCGCTACACGATCATATTTCTAGCAAAAATATTAGCTTTAGTTTATTGGTGGACTTAAAAATTAAGACAAGGGTGTATATTTTCTTGAAATTCCCCCACACAATATTGAAAATAATTTTTTTTGGGGGGGGGGGGAAGGGGGAAATTATGAAAAAAAACTTGCCTTCTGATGTCCAATCTTTCATTTTTTTCCCAGAGCATTAAAAATCATGCAGGGGGGGGGAATATATACTCCTGATTATTAAAAAAGTTATAAAATTTTGGGACAAATATTTTTTTATATACCACTTCTTGGATTATTTGAGTATCAAAACAAAAATAAGGGCCAAATCAGTTTAATTTTGATCAGCGTTATAGTTTTCGACCTTTTATTAAGAACTTAAAAAAACAGTTTTTTTTGGTTTTAATCTAAAAATCAATGTTTTCAGGAATACATGCTGCTGCTAAAGAAACCATTAGTCTGGCAGAGGAAAGATTCCTTGACAATTCAGGTTAATATCTATTATGCTGCTGCTGAATGCTGATAGTGCGAACACTATCAGAATCCTACCCATCAACCCAGACTCCAAAATTGGCAGTCCGGCATAGTATTAGCATAGTGCAATGATTTATGCTCGCGCGGGTGGCTACTGGGTTATAATTCCCAAGTAAGTGACCTAAACCCTCACCTTTTAAAGGGACTGTCAGTGTATAAGGATGGGGAGGGGGACGAAACGTATTACTCACCAGAAAATTTAGACTGTGTTCAAACATTTACGTAGGATGCTTGTATTGTATGTCAACTCAAAAATATGTATTGTAACTGCAAAATCCAACGATAAAAAGACCAGATTAAAATATTTTTTCTACTTCATATTTTCTTATCCCAACACAATGAACTTGAACATGCTTCAATATGATTTAAATAAGAAATCCATGATTAGTTTTGCACATAAAAGCCTGCACGCTTTAATATTTGATAACATTTTTTAGATTTTGTGTTTTTCAAGTTTAACATAATTAAGAACAAAACTAAAATGCGATACATCAAACAAAAGATAAATTGGACCAAAGAATTCATTTCTGAGGTTAAAATAGACATTGGATCATTCTGACCAGTGCGCTAGTAGCCAGATGTTACATTATGGGTCATCTTACCACAAATATTTACATGTTGTATGTCGATTTATAGGTAATTGGGCACAAAGAATCTATTTCTAGGGTAAAAATGTCTTTTGATCACTCTGATCAGCATGCTAATAGCTAGCATTTGCTGTATTGGTCATCTTAACATAGATTTTACATGTTGTCTGTCGATCTACAGGTAATTTGGCACGAGGAATTCATTTCCGAGGTCAAAATGAATATTAAGATATTATGACGGTCATTGGTGTACTAGTAACAAGTTGTTACAATATGAGTCATTTACTACAGATTTTACATGTTGTATGTCGATTTATAGTGAGTCCAATTCTTGAGTTAAAACATCATGATAGCACTGTGATCGGCGCACTGACAGCTCACAGTTACCTAGTAGGTCATCTTACTATATGTTTTACATGTAAAATGTAAAATTTAGGTAGACACAAGGATTATATTTATTGGCTAAGCAATTACACTTGAGAACTCTGATCAAAGTGCTATTACATTTGTTTAACCCAAGAAATGGACTTGTCCTTCTCTATTACTTATAAATCTACTTACAACATGTAAAATATGTGGTAAGATGAACTATAACGTAACTTCTGGCTTCTAGCGCGCCAATCAGAGTGTTAAAAAGTGAAATGGATATGCACTGATAATGAAAACACTGTTTGTAGGTGAATGGCAGTTTGACAATGCCTGGCAGGAGATGCTGAATCATGCAACTATAAAGGTAAACCAGGGGTGCATATTTCCCTGAAAAATTATTTCCCATTCCCCCCTCCTCTTTTAAGAATCTTTTTTATTTATTTACTCACTTACTCACTTACTTACTTACTTACTTATTCACTCACTCACTCACTCACTCACTCACTCACTCACTCACTCACTCACTTATTCACCTATACTGAAACAGGTTATGGATGCTGAGAAGCAGCGAACTGCTAGTGAAAAGGAGCATCTGGCCAGGAGTGCTGCTTTTAGCTCTGCAGAAGCTAAAGTTAAAGCATTGGAGAAGAAGCTCTCCAGGTTGGTTTTAAGGTTTTCTTTAAAGGGACTAGTAATAGTTGTAATTTGAACAGAATACACTGTTCACTCCGTGCTAGTGTACACTCTCGCAGTTTGTTAGCACTGAATTTCCCTGTATTATATATAAATAAGAACATCTACGAAAGCCTTGATCCAGCAATGGTTTAAAGGTTATCGTTGTAAATGGAAGGTCACTTTAAAGGGAATCAATCTAATTTTAATGTGATAAGGGATCAGACTTTACCCCATTTAACTTCTAGAGTACACTCCATTTAATGCCTTGCTTAGGATCCGGATCTGGATTTGGGCTTCCTGGATCCCGTTCTGGAAAAAAATACGGATCCACGGGTCCAGATCCAAGGAGAAAAATATCAACCAAAACTGCAATAAAAAATGTTTATCTTACAAAACCAAAATCTGAAATATGGAAAAAAAATCAATCTTTAACATAATAACAAGCTAAGAAAAGAAGAAAAATAATTTTTTTTTAAAATTCAGTACATCTTGAAGAAATGTTCATGACCTGGATCCAGATTCATTTATTTCCAGTGCGGATCCAGGGTCCAGATCCTCATCAAAATTAAAACACTGCTTTAATGTTTCTATTTCAGGCATATAGAGAAAAGTAAACCCTACTTTGAACAGAAAGATGCGTTTAACAAGGCATTAAACTCAGAGAAATCTAGAATACAGACTCTTCAAGCCAAAATATGTCAAACAAAGGTGACAGTTTTAAACTCGATGTTTGTTCAGGTATTCTCGGCTTCTCAGTTATTTTGTACCATTAACAAAGGGGACAATTATGCAAATACAGTAGTGACGAATATAAGGAACAAATACTTAGGGCACTGACATATTTTTGCACTATTTTTATTTAACTTTAACTCGTATTTTATGATAATCGACAATTTTCACAACTAATATAATTTCTAGTCTCAATATGCGCAATCACTGAGGAATCTAGAGGATATATCAGAATCAATTCATCAAAGGTAATAAAAAATTAATCCAACGTTCATTTAATTGTTTTCTGTTCATGTCATCTCTAGATTGAATCGTGAATAATAGGACTTCCGTAAGAATCCTGGTTTTTTTATTTTATCTTTTTACAGTATGTCTATTGTCTAAATTATCTTAAAAGTTAGGGTTTCCATGTGCAAACACTTTTTATTCAATTTCGGGAACATTTTAAGTAATTTTGAGAAACTGTCTTTAATAATAATAAGCAATATGTTCACATCCTGACTATAACAAATTAGCCTTTTATAAAATGCACAACTATTGCTAGCATGCGTTAAATTTTAGAGCAATTGTACGCAAAATGTGTACTATAGTTCAGATATCCAGATCATTAGAGACAAAGGACAAATTTAGTATCCTACCGATAAATGTGCAACAAGATAAATTTTGAATTTGGACATTTTAGTAAGTCAGCGGCAGATCGAGTTTTGTGCTATTTTTGTGAAATTGCGAATGGAACCCTCACTTTAAAAAAATCTTGAAATCTGTTAAAATAAATATTTTCAGACGGAAGACGAATAAAAGACTGGTGGATCTGAGAGAAGATTTTGATTCCCTGACCTACGACCTTGACCTTTGTCATCTAGACGCAGCTAGCACCAGCAGTATTGCTGGCAGTCAACTCACTATTTCAGAGGTACAAGGTTTCCCACATAATATTATATCGTTTATAGCTCTGAATTCAGTTTTAAGGGGAGAAATGTCATGTTTCTCTAGTATTATGTGCGTATTTTGGCTTTAAAGCTTGGAGATAATCCAATATGATATGGTACGCTCTGTATATTAAAATAACAACACTGTATTCACAACGGTACCCTTAAAAGCTTGTCGGATCAAGGAGGAATGAGACATCAATATTTAGAATTTAGACAATTGCCGTTTCTTTAAGAAAGTAACTTGCGCATTTTATAATGCAGGAAATTGAAAATTTATAGCGAGGAATTATTAGATTTGAACAATTCACAGACTCTTAAAATGACAGTATCTTCCACATTATTGATCAGAGAAAAGTTTCCAGGGTACCGTTGTGAATCGGCATTGTACACTTTGCATATAGTGTCACTTGAAAATACACTTACGTCTTACAATCCCTTTAATTTAAACATTGTTTAGAACTCTGGCTGTGACTCTGCCCTGGGTAGTGCTAGTCTAGTCGGGGAGGGGAGTATAGTTGATGAGGATAGTTTACAGGTTAAAACACAGGCAGGGACTAGATAAATATTTATTTTTATTATTATTATTATTATTATTATTATTGTTATTGTTATTGTTATTGGTATTGGTATTGGTATTGGTATTGGTATTGGTATTGGTATTGGTATCGGTATCGGTATCGGTATCGGTATCGGTATCGGTATCGGTATCGGTATCGGTATCGGTATCGGTATCGGTATCGTCACCGTCACCGTCACCGTCACCGTTTCATATTCAAAGAAAGCTTCCTTTGTGATTTTGTCATGAATTAAGATGGTCACTTCGGATTAATATTTTTTTAAATATGCTCGAAGTGCGATTTTATTGCATTTGATGCTAATACAGTTTTTCGATTGAACTTTTAGTCCTATGAATCATAATCATTCAACCTACAGAGTTTTTGAACTGTCATATTTGATAAAAAAAAATAAGTCTTAAATCAAGCGCTTCACTGATAGGAGATGCATTTTTCAGATCTTTTAGTTTGTTACATTCATTCTTTCATTACGTTTCCTTTAATCCTCATACTGGCGGAGTTTCCGCTATGTGTATTGGCTTTTCAAAACCAGGAACCCAAAATATAAGGCTTCGAAGCAGGATATTGAAATGATGATAAACGAAGAAAAAAAATTGCAATATTAAAAAATTGAAAAAAATGTTTTTTTAGGTGTCAAGAAGGTATTCTCTACCTGAACAGTTGAATACTAACAAGCTGGTTTCACGACCCCCAGCAGGTACTGATTTTGATACAATGGTAGGCGATTATATCAATACAATAAAGACAAGCATAGAAGTCATGAGAAGCAGTCTATTAAAAAAGCTTCTTTTTGATTACTTGTAGACTTGTAATTCGAAAAAAGCATGTGAACAATCAAAAGGGGGGAGGGGGGGGCCACAAAACGTATTACTCTCCGGAAAATTTAAACAGTGTTTAAACATAACTTAGAATTGTCGTAGGAGGCTGATTTTTTGCATGCAAACTCAGAATTATGTATATTACGTGCATTTTTTGGTTTTGAAGGAATCTGAGCAAAAGTGCGCGCGCGCGCGCGTTTTTTGTGAAAAAATGCGACTTTTTTGACAGTAAATCAATGTTAACTTCATTAATTGCACTTGAAAATTTTTCCTGACACTCTTGAAACAAATATGCGCTAAAAAAATTCAACCC